ACCATCCCACCCATTGTCATCACAATATTCGTTAAGAAGCCACTTTCAGGGGTAGAACTGCAGAACGAGGTAGCAGCCAGGTCACATGGTGGTTTTAGTCTACCTTCTCTAACTTGCAGCTCCAATTACCAGAAAATAAGTGACTTTTAAAGATGGGTTCAATAATAGTGGGTGTGAAAGCACTTATAGTTCCAGGACCAGGCCAGGTTTTGCAGCTAACAATTAAATCATCACAATTATATATATATATATATATATTTATTTATTTTTAAACAGGAATTAGGCAAGTAGAAATGACTCACTGTGTTTTCTAATTTTTTTCACTCAAGGCCTGGCTCCACCTGCCCTCCTTGTCTGCTGGGGCAGGAGGTGAAAGAGATTGTGGAGACTATGGCATTTGGTGAGTTCTCAGTGAGTCAATTTTCTGAAAACCAATGGATTGTATTACACAAAGTTTTACTTTGACATAAAATTAAATGTATTTACTACTGATTTTCATAGATCATTGAATCCTGAAGTCAAATGCTCTTTGACATCACTACCAACATTAGTGGGAGCTTGGCCAAGGAAGCCTAGTTAACACTAGCCGTCTTGAAATCAGTTATGGATGAGGTATTTAGCCTGTCATTCTTCATTATAAAAATAGCATGAGACATAGAGTTCAAGTGGAAGAGGAACTGTCCAGAATTTGGACAAGAGGTCACATATCCTGGACCATGATGATTGGGGTACATGTACCATCTCTAAGTTGAGGTCCCCAATTTGGGGAAAGTTCTAAAATCTTTGCAGATGAGAGTTTATTAGCCCAAATAATTCCTGTTAAATTTCCATTTATCCTTCAGAACTGCTCAAGTAGCTCTTCTCTGGAGTGCTCTTTTTTTTGGAGAATTCACTCTTTTCCCGAATGGAGGCATTCTTTCTTTCATAGTCATTGTGCTCTGTACACACCTCTGTTAGAGAACTCAACCCACTTACCAAAAAAACCAAAACCATGTGTCTACTTGTTTGTCTTTTCAGCTAGACTATAAGATCATAGTGGTCAGGGTTTCTTCCCTCAGTTGTCTTTGTAGCTTCGAGAACTAGCACTGCGCCACATGTTTTTGAAGACTAATGAAGTTTGATGCTGATGAGATGCTCATGGATATCTTCCCTGAAAACACTGAATGCCAAGAATTTTTAACATTTTCTCTTATATCACTGTGATGTATCAAGTACTTGTTAATTATAACATTATAATTAATTATAACAGAGACTCATCAGGAAATAGTAATATATTTAATACATTAGTAATAGTAATATTATAATAGTAATATAATTAAGAAAAAGTAATATATTTCAGTCAAGGTAGAACAAGATGCGACATGAAATTTAGAGATGGAGGAGGGTGGTATACTTTAAACGTATGTTCTCAATATTGAACATGGAATGTGAATTTTTCATCTGTTACAGATTTGGCAAGTGATTATATGTGTATCTGAAGGTAGCCAGCCTCTTTAAGAAATCTGGCCATTCATTCAGTCTACCAGGTCCCTGGTGAGCCAGATATCTTGGAAGGGTCTGGTTACTGAGGTGCCAGAAAAAGCTCTTATGCATTCTGTTGGTATAATTTTTTAAAATCCCATATCTAGAGAAAACATAATCATACAGCTATCCACTGAGTAGCAGTGAAAGAGTGGGTAAATTTCACTAAATTTAGGTAGCTAGCTGTTTATATCTGCTTGGCTTAATTGGCCCATTTGGAATTAAGAACAAAGAGTGAACAGTCAATGGAAAAGCTACAGGGAAATGTAGCAAAGGGAAAGTCTGAGTGAGGGTGCGATAAAGGCATGAAGATCAATTGTGGAATAAAGAGGCATCAAGTTTCAGAGAACACATGTAGAAACTAAGAAATTGTTATAGCAAGAGAAAGGGAAATAAAAGAGAACCAACAGTACCTAATCAGAAAAGTGTCATTTGTTGCTAGGTTTCTCATTTCATTTTAGTGAAAGAATAATTTAAGTCAAGAAGATAAACTCGATTCTATTTTATTTAATATTTTTCATTTTGAACACTATTTACTAAATATAGTATATTTTATTATCATGAATTGTCAGCCCCAGATATATCAAAATAAATTGTACTTAGAGTCTCCCATTAGAAGGTAAACTCTATAAGGCAGGAACTCTGTTCTGTCTTACTCACTGCTCTCTTTTTCATGCTTGTAACAGTGCCTGTAATACAGTAGTTACTCAATAAATGTTTAATGATGGATACACAAATCTTGCTCGTTTTAATTTATTATCTTTAATTCTTCCTTTATACTATTGTTAAACTAAAGCACAGTGCCTAGACACAAATCAGATCATATTATTACCTGGATTCCACCCTTCAATGGCTCTTCATCTGTCTTAGGTGAAAACTCAAGCTCCTTAGAATGTCACATAAGGCCTTTCATGTGACCTGACGTTGTTCAACTCTCCAGCCTTCTCCCTTTTAATTCATCCATTCAATAATTCACTCGACAAATATTTATTGAGGGCTGACTATGTTCCAGGCACTCTGTTCAATCCTGAGGACACAATGGTAACCAAAAGAAGACAGTCTTCTCACTTCTCATACTACTGTTGAAGAAATTGAACTCTTACTATGTTTAAAAATGAATCTGACTCATGGATCAAAGAAGAGAACACAATGGAAAGTAGAAAATATTTAGAATTGATTGGTAATGAAGATACCCAAACTTGTGGGTTACAGTTAAGTAGTGCTTGAAGGAAAATTTGTAGCTTCAAAATGCATATATTAGAAGAGAGGAAAAGTACTCAACTTCATTACTTATCAGGAAGATGAAATGTAAAACCACAGTGAGATACATTTCACACTCACCAGAACATATGTTATAAAGTGAAAGTAAAGGACAATTTCCAGTGTTGGTGAAGACATAGAGCAACAAGTTCTAGCACGCTGTTGGTATAGAATCTAACTTGGTCTTTCTTTACTTTTGTTCATTTAAAGTTTATGTTATCTGATATAAGAATGGCTATTACAGCCTTCTTTTGGTTTCCATTGCCTGGAATATTGTTTTCCATTCCTTCACCTTGAGTAGGAATGAGTCCTTGTGGATTAGATGTGTTTCCTGGAGACAGTAGACACTTGGCTTGTATTTATTTTATCCATTCAGCCAGCTTATGTCTCTTCAGTGGGAAATTCAAGCCATTCCCGTTTGTTGAGAGAATTGATATTTGCAGTGGATTTCTGTTCCTCCTGTTGGGTAGACCCTTATTGTTTTGTTTTACCTCTCAAGCCATTGTGGAATCTGGGTTCTGGACTTTAGCTTTTGGCTGATTTTACACTTGATGTAACCACTTTGGCAAACTGGCAGTATATACTCAAACTTGTGGTATAGTCATTGACCAACTGTCCACAGTTAATTTTGATTCATTTCTTAACCTCTGCTTTGGCTTGACCAAACTTTAGTCAGGCTTCTCTCCTCCCCACAGGCCTCTAAATTTTGGCTTATTTCCCTTAAGCAAACACTAACGTACTAAAGTGCAGAGCATACTCCCTTAACAGTGCATACTGAGAATCAGCTGATCCCACTAAAAAGCATTTCCTATTGAAGCATCCTGATTTTGTCACCTGCTCACTCACATCTTGTGTCCTCCTCCCTCATAAAGGTCCTGCTAGTCCTTCTCTCTCACTTAGAAAGAAAAGCTTCTTTCTATATGATTTTGGATACTTGTAGATATCTGAGATTAGAGCATTCTCCTCATTGCAATGGCCTTTTTTGAATGCAGTCTCTCCTCATCCATTTGTTCTTATTTAACATCACACAATGGGATACTCTATAGAAATGAGAATAAGTGAGCCACAACTGTATTGCACAACATGGATGAACCTTGCAAATATAATGTCAAGCAAAAAAAGGAAGACCTAAATGGCTATATAGTGCATAATTTTATTTATATGAAGTTCAAAACAGGAAAGACAAATCTATGTTGTTGTGAGCCAGGAAAGTGGCTCTCTTTAGGGGCCAGTTGCTAGAAGGAGACAAGAAGAGGCTCTGAGGGTGCTGATAGGTCATGTTTCTTGATCTGGGTTCTCACTATAGGGAAAATGTTCAATTTGTGAAAAGTCATCTAGTGATAGATGTAAAATTTGGGAAATTTTCTATGTGTTTTACTTATATAAACAACTTGCTTAAAACTTGAATCACTTAGAATCACAATTTACTTTTCTCAAACTATGAAGCAAAAAACAAGGGGCCTTAATGTTTTCTAACTAGCAAATGAATACATATTACTTATATATGTGACTTAAATAGTGAGTAAATTAGAGAATAAAATTTTAGCCAACAGATAATAGGTTAATTATCACGATGCTGGTGTGTTCATTACCTCTTAAGGAACCAAATTCAATTTTCTACCAAACATAGTCTAACTAATAAATTAAAAAGTGAAAATATTATTATTTGCAATAATCACAGCTTTTTAATATTCCGTGGGAGAAAAAAATGTAGTTAGTACAGTAGATGAATATCATGAGGAATATTCTTGACATTATCAGAAAAAAAGAAGAAAAAATAAAAAAACTAATGTCATGACACAGAATATAACAGTACAAAATGTGTATATGTTTAACTTATATGAGAACTTCATTCTACCTATCTGGTTCTCTGGTTTTTGTGCTTGATGGTCACAGGAATGTAAATATCCTTTAAACTTTATTTTCTTATCTCCTACAATAACAAAGAAGTAGTTCAGTTAGATTTTCAAGAGACCTGTCATAATAATGGTTTTATTCCTTATTATTTCGTTAAATAATATTTTAACTTACAACTTAGGGATATAGCTACGATTTTGACCATGGCTTTATGAAATGCATAGGACTTATAATTTCCCATTCCCACACATTATAGTGGAAGTATCAGCTATAATTAAATAAGTAATAATAAAATAAATTTAATTACAAACTATAGTAAATGCTATGAAGGAAAAGTAAACAGTGCTGCAAGAACATGTAGCTGGGAATTGAGTTTGTATATTTAAGAAAAATTATTTTGGCTTCAATATGAAGATTGAATTACAAAGCAGGGAAAACGCATGCAGGAAGACCACTTGGGAGATGCCTGTGTAGTGTAGGCAAGAGGTGATGATAACTTATGAAACGGTTTGGCGTTGGAGATGGAGAAAGTGGATGAATTTGAGGCATTTGGGAGATAAAAATTGTCATTAAACTTCACACTGCACCTGCATAAAACTATTTGCTGGTTCTGCAATGTGCCAGAGTTGTCTTGCTTTGTCGTTGATGTTTCTTCCTTGGATCATCTTTTCTCTAATGTTCCATCTAGATCTAGCTACATCTCATCCTTCAGAACTCTGCTCTGCCATGCACTCCCAGGGCTCCCCGTTTTCACCACTCTTGTTGTTGCACTTGTCACACTGCTTTTTAGCCGTCTGCCTCCTGTTGGTCCCCTGCTGGACTGTGAGCTACTTGAGGGCCCCATCTATTTTGTTTCTGTAGCCCCAGGGCTAGAGCCATGCCTGGAACAGAGTAGGAAATAAATCTTTGTTACATTAATGAATGAATAATAGATTCTTTCTGCAATCTAAATGATGACATAAGCTGTTCTTTTGCTTAAAATGACGTTCATTTTTCAGAGACGAGGAGGCTACCATCGAGAACGTGGGAAAGCAACACTGATGATTACAGGGAATGAATGGACAAAGCACGCCAAAGTGACTGGCAAGGGCCCCTAAGCCTGAGCCTTGTGATTATGAGACTGGCCGTGGACATCGCAAGCCCTTCCCCTCCCTCAGCAATCTCCAAGGTTCATGGCTGCTTCCAAAGAAGAGAAACATCTAGGCTTCTTACTGCCCTCGAAGGGTTTTGGTGGTCATCCATACCACACCTCTACCCTCGGGAGAAAGATGTCAGGCACGCACGCACGCACGCACGCACGCACGCACGCACGCACACACCATGCACCCACGCACCCAGGCACCCATGCGCACGCACGCACACACCATGCACCCACGCACCCAGGCACCCATGCGCACGCACGCACGCTCGCACCCACGCACGCACCCACGCACGCACGCACCTATACGCACGCACGCTCGCACACGACTTATAAGCAGTCTCAGCTCGCTGCCTGTATTCTCTTGATCTGGGAGCTTTAATCTTTTTACGTGAAAATCTTTTAAAAAGTGGAATAAATTATTTCCATGGAAAAAGAGAAGGTAGCCTGTGTTGGCTGGCTGCGAAATTTAGGAGTGAACCTGGAGGAAATCTAATGAGGGTGAAGCCCAGCATACGTCCAAAGAAGGTGCACTAACAGAGAGGTAAAGCTGTGGACTACCTTGTTCTAAGCAGGTGTTTGGCATTTTGCTCTCCTGAAGTCTCCTTAAAAAGAGGAGTGTTAAGTTGACTTGAATACTTCCTTCAATATATCTGTGTCATCATTTTATATTTAGTGTATGCAAACTTGAGAGGCTGGGTTTTTTTTTTTCCCCTTAAATTTTGGTATAAATACCACGAAGTGGATGGTAAGGTCTTAATTATGGCCCTATGGTCTAAGCAGCTGGGCTTCCAGATGCTCCTATTTACTGTGGCCCTGGGTTGTGTGTATCTCTGCAATTGGATTATAATGGGGGAGCTGGGCTTATTTTTAATTATTATTAATATTATTACTGGCTTCTATTTATTGAGCATCAACTGTGGGCCAGGCACTGTTTTATCTACGTTGACATCTAATTGTATTTACTCATTATAACAAAATCGAGAGGAGGCTGCTGTTGTTATCATCTCAATTTTACCGACTATAAAACTGAGGTTAACTAATTTGCTTAAAGTTTTATACACACAGCCAGTAAACGGCAGAGTTTGCTTAGGACCCAAACTTTACTGGCTTCAAAGTAAGTCAGTTATTTTAACCATTGTCTGTTCTGCTTCCCATGGTGGCTTCCAAGGTGCCTTCCATTTCCAGATCTGAGGAGAGGTCAGTAGGAGCACCAAACTGTGTGCATGTATATGGGACAGGGAGGAAGGAAGAAACATTCGGGGCATTTGCTTGTATAAGGCTTGTCTTTGGCAGGGTTCCAACCAGATCCTTTTCATTTATGTTCTACACTCTGGCTGGTTTTAAAATCTTAAAGCTTCAAAGACTATCGAATTACCAAAAAAAAAAAAAAAAAAAACCCCCAAAAAAAAAAAAAAAAAAAAACACCCCAAAACAAAAACAAAAAAACCAACTCAAACCAGAAATAATCTAAGAAACATTAAAAAATACTTTTCAGTAGAAAGGAATAGGAATAGCATGTGAAAGCTCCTCAGATTGATTTACATCAAAGAGAAAAAAGTTTTAAGAAATCGAGTTACTTATTTTTCTCCATGAAAAGAAGTTATTTTCTCTATTAAATAAGACTGTGCCAAACTAAAATGAGAGACCAACAGAATAAAAAATCCTACGAAATAACATTTCAGTGATGGCCATAACAAGACTTGAAATTGAGGAAAATAAAGTCAGTAGGTTGTAGAAAAGTTTAGAAAACTATTCTGAATTTGAAGAAAGTTAATACAAAAAGGAATGAGAAAGAATATAACCATTATGGTGGAGACATGACAGGATTCCAATCTGTAAGGTTATACATACAGATATGAGTCATTTAATGACAGGGATAAGTTCTCAGAAATGCTTTGGTAGGTTATTTTATTGTTGTGTAAACATTGTGGAGTGTGCTTACACAAAGCCAGATAATGTAGCCTACCATACACCTGTGCTATTTGGTATAGCCTATCGCCCCTAGGTTATAAACCTGTAAAGCATGTTACTGTACTGAATGCTGTAGGCAACTGTAACACAGTGGTAAGTGTTTGTGTATCTAAACACATCTAAGCCTAGAAAAGGTACAGTAAAAATATAAAAGATAATGATACACCTGGATGGGGCACTTACCATGAATGGTGATTGCAGGACTGGAAGTTGCTCTGGGTCAGTGAGTGATGAGTGAATGTGAAGCCTAGGACATTACTGTGCACCACTCTAGACTTTGTAAACATTGTACACTTTAGCCTACACTAAATTTATTTAAAACATTTCTTTTTTCAATAATAGATTAACCTTAGCTTGTAACTTCTTTATTTTGTAAACTTTGAAAAATTTTAAACTTTTTGACTCTTTTGTAATAACTCTTAGCTTAAAACACAAACACATTATACAGCTGTGTAAACATATTTTCTTTCTTTATATCCTTATCCTGTAAGATTTTTTCTATTTTTAAAAATTTTTACTTTTATTTTTTACTTTTTAACTAGGACACAAACACATGTTTTTGTTAAAAAAGTAGGACACAGACACACACATTAGCCTAGGCCTACACAGGATTGGGATCATCAAGATATTACAAGGTGAAAAGAATTTTTAAGCTCCATTATAATCTTATGAGGCTACTGTGTTATATGTGGTCCGTTATTGACTGAAATGTCTTTATGCAGTTCATGACTGTACGCTTATTATGTTTTAAATGCGTATAGGATTTACAGTGATGTCACCCTTTTCCATCCTGACAATACTAATTTGTATCTTCTTTGCTTTAGATAAGATAAAGCATATATAAGTTTTTCCCAGAGTTTAACTTCATTATGCTTTCAAAGAATTAATTTTAACTTTTCTGATTCTATTATATGTTTGTTTTCTGTTTCATTAATTTCTGCTTCTATCTTCATTAGTTCTTCCTTCTATTTTTTCCTTCCTTCTATTAATTTGCTTTTGTTTTACTAACTTTTTGAGATGGATGCTTGAATTATTGATTTTTAGTCTTTATTCTTGTCTAATATATACATTTAAGGCTACAGATTTTCTTCTAAACATGACTTTAGTTGTATTCCACACATATTTTCGTTAAATTTAAAATGTTTTCTAATTTTCATTTGTGATCTCTTCTTTGGCCCAGAGATTATTTAGAAGTATATTTTATATTTTACAAGCATATGGGAATTTTCTAGTTTTCTTTTTATTATCCATTGATCTGTGATCATATAATCTGTGTGATGTCACTTCTTTGAAATTTGCTTTATGGCCCAGCAATTAAAAAAGAATTTTCTGCATGTATTTGAAAAGCATGTGTGGTCTGCAGTTGTTGGGTATTTATACATACATTTAAAATTTTTATTTTATTTTAGTGAATTATGGGGTACAAGTGTTAAGGTTATGTATATTGCCCATGCTCCCCACCCCCTCGAGTCAGAGCTTCAAGCGTGACCATCCCCCAATGTTGCACATCTTACTCATTGGGTTTGTATATACCCATCCCCTCCTCCCCCCTCCCACCTGCCTGACACCAATAAATGTTATTCCTATATGTCCACTTAGGTGTTGATCTGTTAATACCAATTTGCTGGTGAGTACATGTCGTGCTTGTTTTTCCATTCTTGAGATACTTCACTTAGTAGAATGGGTTCTAGCTGTATTCAGGAATATACAAGAGGTGCTATATCACCATTGTTTCTTAAAGCTGAATAGTACTCCATGGTATACATACACCACATTTTATTAATCCACTCATGAATTGATGGGCACTTGGGTTGTTTCCACAGCTTTGCAATTGTGAATTGTGCTGCTATAAACATTTGAGTGCAGGTGTCTTTTTCATAAAGTGACTTTTGATCTTTTGGATAGATGCCCAGTAGTGGAATTGCTGGATCAAATGATAGATCTATTTGTATCACTTTAAGGTATCTCCATATTGATTTCCACAGAGGTTGAACTAGTTTGCAGTCCCACCAGCAGTGTAGGAGTGTTTCCTCTCTCTCCGTATCCATGCCAGCATTTATTGTTTGGGGACTTTTTGATAAAGGCCATTCTCACTGGAGTTAAGTGATATCTCATTGTGGTTTTTATTTGCATTTCCCTGATGATTAGAGATGTTGAGCATTTTTTTCTTGTGTTTGTTGGCCATTATTCTGACTTCTTTTGAAAAGTTTCTGTTCATGTCCTTTGCCCATTTGTTGATATACATACATTTTTAACTGGATTGTTCAAATAGTCTATATCATAATTGGTTTTTTTGCTACTTGTTCTGTCAGTTATGTCAGGGCATTTTTAAATCTTCTAGCATAAATATGCATTTGCCTGTTTCTTTTTCTAATTCTATCAATTTTTGCTTAATATGTTTTTAGGCTATTTTATGAGGTGAGATAAAAATTTAGAATTACTACACTTATCCGTTAAAGTCTCTTCAGATATCTCTCCTTTTTGCCTGATAAGATATATTTTTCTCATGTTAATGTAGTTATATCAGCTTTCTTTGGGTTAGTTATTTATTACTAACAAACTGTCCAGAAACTCAGCAGCCTAAAACAACAAATATTTATTATTTCTAATAGTTTAAGAGAGTCAGGAATCTAGGAGTGGTTAATTCTCTCATGAGGTTACAGTCAAGATGTCATCTGCGGCTGCAGTCATCTGAAGGTCTGACTGGGGCAGGATGACTTGCTTCCAAGATAGCTTACTCATGTGGCCTGGCGGTGGGCCTCAGGTTCTCATTGGCTGTTGGCAGGAAGCTTTGGTTCCTTACCACATGGATCTCTTCATAGGGCTGCCTGAGTGTCCTCATGATGTGGCAGCTAGCTTCTCAAAGACCAGGCAGTCCAGGGGATAGAGATCAAGGTGGAAGCCACAATGTATTCTGTGGCCTGGTCAAAAGTCATGCACTTTCGCTTCTATTCATTAGAAGTGAGTCACTGAATACAGCCCACTTTCAAGAGGAGGGAATTAGACTTAACCTTTGAAGGAAGAAAGGTATCAAGAAATTTGTGAGTCTATTTTAAAACCACCCAAGTTATTATTTTCATGGTATATATATTTTCATTCTTTTACTTCCAGACTGTTTCTTTGTATTTTCGGTTTGGCCCAATATAATTTACATATAGTTTATGCCAGTCT